GCGGACAAAGGCGCGGGAAGGAGGCTGGAAATCACCGACGGCGGAAGCGGCGCATTCAGAACGCCGCCGTGAGGGGCAGGGGGGACGCAGGGACGGGGGGGGGGGGGCGAATAGCGCGAAATGTTGACACCTCGAATCTATTTAGCGCCATTTGACGACCGCGTTAATTAACGGGGTTAACGGGGGAGGGGCGGCCGATAACGGGGGTCGCACGGCGGCGTGTTTTGCGGGGGCCTTTGCCGACGCTCCCGGGTCTCTGACTGACACCAAAGGGGGTGGCGTTGTAGGATGGGGCCTTGGCGTCTGGTGAGGAATCGTATTCTGATGGTTGATAAAGTTGCAAATTAAGGAGATCATAGGGATGGGCCTTGCCCCCAGTTGGAGCGAGAACCTCCCCAAAATTTTTGGAGGAATAATCGGTGGGTCGGCGATGGTTGTTGACGAAAACTCGTGTGGAATTGCTCTTTCCCATAGTTTCTAACGCTAAATTAATGAGTTTTCTGAAACAATGAGAATTTTGGAGTAAAAGGGCTTTTCAGGGGGTTTAAAGGGAGAACCAAGGTGTCCAGACTCGAAGATTCGAAGCCCCTAAAAATTGCCCTTAACATGAAATGTCGATTCTTTCAAAACAATAGATGAATTTGACATTGTCAATTATAAAACATAATTATTTTAAATGATTTGAGTCTGTAACCGTCGCCAAAATTCAGAAAAAACGATAATTTACCCAAAAATAAAGGAGGAGAGGCTTCGTTTCAACCTCGAGAGGTTCTTTTGGAAAGATAACATTACAGCAGAGAGAAACGTTGATTTGACTCATAGAGCATACACCTGCAGTATAGTCGATTCACCGTGAGACATTCTGTACTTGGGCAAGCTTCAATTGAAGAGACTGCAGTGAGCATGATGAGAGAGATTGTAATACTATACCACTAAACGTGCTCGCCGGAAGCGATATTGCCTACTCGCGTAATTGAAGGCGGACTGATAACGTGGAGCTCTTACGAAGAGAGGTGCTCCTAACATTTTCTTACTATAAACAGTCCCTCGGCGCCTTGATTTATCGGCTCTACTTTTTACCCAGAACAATCAAGTCTTCTCCAACAAAATTTCACTCGACAATCGGTACGATCCCCGTTCAAAACTCGGCCTGCTTTATTAATTATCATAAAAAAATTAATAGTAGGATTTTGATTACGAATGTAGTGTAGCATACACCTAATGTGTGTCTAAGCAAGGTATAAATTAAAAAATCACGCAGCATGCCTCTCTTCAAAATGTCACGAGGAAAACAAAGCTTTGGACGGAAATCCTGTGCACCAATTTCTAAACAAGATACATGTATTGAGCTAAAATATTTTGAATGTGAGAATATTCAGCCAATTCCCATAAAGAAAAAAAAAAATGCATTACAACCGAGTTAAATAGAAAGAGACCATGTTGCTATAAGATCAAACCAAGGAGATGTATGTATGACATTAAAAGTCATGGAGCAATAATACTTAAACATATTTTTATTGATGTATGGTCCGAATAGCTTTTTGCTTTTTTATAGAAATGTGCCGGGTGTCGAATCGTTATCCACGCATTGCAATATTAGTAAAATTTAAATATAAAAGGTAAAGATACAAAAATTTAATGACATTTAAATGATCTACCTGTAATAAAGCATTTAGATATCAATCATAAGAAGAAAAATATAAGTACCTAATTGACATTGATCTTGATACTATGGATTCCATAAGTGGCGCCTCTTTTAAGACACTTAGATACAAAATTCAGGTCTCATTTAAACGGTTTTCCCTCTTGAGTATTCACATCAAGTTCATATAATTGTGTAGAATTCATACACCGTTGCGCTAATATTTGGAAGGAAACTCTAGATTTTTGACGAGAGTTGACATCGGTGTTGTTAATCGCGTCAAGACGTTCCTAATCGAGTCACTTGAGGTGCAGCTGCCGGTGAATGAGGCGCAGTCGTTAGTATAAAGTCTCCCCGTCTTCCCTCCTACCCTCCGGGTCCACCTTCATCTCATAAATTAAACTCTTCTTTCATGGCCGAGCTACTGGTTTCTAAGATCTCGGCGTATCCTGGATGAATGTTCGAGCGCGATCATTTGCGTGGCACGCCAAAACGCGCGGCATCGATTTATCAGCAGATAAGCTCCGGTGCCATGGATACAGGCTCACCACCGTGCGCCTTGGTAAAGGAAAACGTCGTATGAACATTCGCTGGTTATCAAGATTTCTCTGCATAATATTATTTCTTTTAAAAAAAGTCGTTTACATTTTTCTGTGAGATTTTCAAGTATTTTAAATGGAAAAGACTATGAAATTCTGTGAAAAGTTCAAAATAAAATAGACATACATTGTTTAGAAAATTCAAGTTTAATGACAGGAAGCTTATCAACGCTTGGATGTTCATAAGCTGTTTTGCTAGTGCGGAAGATGCGGTGCTCCACTACCGTAATCCAGTCATGCCAAAAAGTGGAAAATTTAAGACCGCTGTCGAAGGAAAATGCGCGCGCTATGCCGAAGCTGACCTTTATGTATCCCTCGAGGGTAATTCTCCGGTAAAGCTATTGGATACTGTCCTCAGCGCTGTATCCCCTACATGAAATAAAATCCCTTTAATATTGGAGTGATGATAAGCGAATTATCAGAAATTACCTCGACGTATAAAAAATGTTCTCTTGCGGATCAATACCTAAAGCAAACGTACGAATAAGACATATTAGTTGAGTTTAGTTTCTCACAAATTATGTGTATTTTGAATAATAACAAGGTAAGTCTTAGTGAATACTTAAATGAACTATGCACTTTCCCAATGGCTCTGCGCGACGGTTCAGGGTTTGCAGTGCAAGTTGGAGGCCTCGAGGCCGGGGCGAAGAGCGCGCGCTGTGTGTGGTCGGATAGACACTTTATAATCCGGGACTTAGCGAGTTGTTTTAACCGTTGCTCACTTGTAGCGGCGCAGCGGATCGGATCGGGCCTCGTTTTTAAATAATCCGCGGCTCATTGAAAAGCCTCAAGCCGGGGAAAAATCACCCGGAGCGAGCGGCGCCCTCGCAGAGACAACACACACAACCTCGGGCGTGAGCCTCGAGGCACGTAAGAACACACGCTATCCGCGACTCACGCCGCAAACCACTTACTCCTGTCTCCGGTAGCGCGGGCGGGGGCACGGGACGGAGGGGAGGGGGCGCCCCGATGCAAAATTCAATCGCGGTGAAAAATTAATGGCTCGATGGGATGCGCAAGTGGCGCGCGGAGAGAGAGGCAGCGATTGAGCAGCACACACCGTCGACATTCGATCAAAAGCTCTCGACCGAACGGAGCCCCGGGCAAAAACCGCGTAACTCTAATGGGATCCCGACGCGCGTCCGCGGTTCATCCCGACTCCGGAAACGTAATAAACATTTGTTGGGATCTCATCAAAGGTTTTATCTGTGTTCCCGGAGTGCGATGAGCGAAAATATTAGCGCAGCCTCGTGCTGGTGGTTTATTCCCTGTTACACTACCCCACAAACTCCCGTCCCCTCCCGCTCGTCCCCCGCAGCCTGCACAAACAATGCGCGGGTAATGATCGTCGCCGTTAAGGGGGTGCGCGTTTTATTATTTAAAACATTCGAAATCACGACGCTCGTGTAGCGTCGCTTCCGTCGCCTGCTGACATCGCCCGATCGAATATCAATGGTGAGAGTAAGATGAAGGGGGAAAAAACCACACACGATCTTTATTACGTCGTCTCGAAATCTCTGCTTATTTATCTTTTTTCTTGTTACAAAAAACCACATTACTAATTCTGAACGCTTACTAATCAATCATACTCTGGAGTCCGAATTAAGGGGGTGGCCACATGGGCCGCGGCACAAGGCGGCAAATTTTGCAATTTTTTTAAATGTAGGTATAAAAAAAATCGGATTCAGAAAAAAGAATTATCAATGAGAAAAGGGGACAAAATCTCTCTTTCCTGAGAGTATAGTAATTTCTAATTTTATCGTTTTTCGGTGATAAAAGAGACAGCGTTTTGAATTAGTCGAGTTAATAGAGGAACTAAACACACAATTTGGCCTGGAGCTCAGCGCAGAGAGGAATGATGACGAGGACTTGAGATGAAAAGGACAAGCCCTCGGCACGGCGCGGCGGTCGACATGTAACACATATTAGCGCCTACAAGACTGCATGAATACTTCACCCATTGCGTCAAACACAGTGCGGTCAGGAGCGGTTGGCGTGAAACGCGTAGCGCCTACAAGACTGCAGGAATACTTCACGCATTGCGCCAAACACAGAGCGATCAGCCCGGCGCGGCGCAGCAGCGGACGTTAACAGTATTAAACCACATTTATGTTTGTTCTTTCAATTTTTTGGTTCATTTCTTATAAATGGAGGACCTTGTCTACACAGAGATATGTTTACGGAACTTAACTTTCGCGCAAAGTTCCGTGAAATTTTTCTAGTAGTGTTGACAGGGCTTTCTCAAAAAATGTATTCAACCCGAGTAGGTAAACGCGTCTTATGCACCCCTCCCCCTCCGGCACGTTCACTTGATGGTTTTTATTGATGTTCCAAAACGAATGTGAAGGGGGCGGCAAAATACAGGCAGCCCATATGGGTGGCAAGTACGTAAATCCGGCCCTGCCTGGAGTAATTACAAAATATTCTGGATGAGATGTGAAAAAAAGAGGAAGAGAGAGAAAGAAAGAATTCGGAGGAATAATGTTCCTTCGCTTCTGTGAAAAGAATGTAGCATGGTGAAAAGTCGCAATTTTTTCGGTCTGCACATCGATATCTTATAGGATAGCTCCATTTATTCTCATACTTTCCCATTCTTAGCTTTGCTATTTACCTTACTCTGAGATGAGAGGTTAAAAGGGGGATAGGTACAATTGCATGGTTTCTCATTACTAATCTCGATTCAGATGGTCAACATTTGGTTCCTATTTTTTTATTGGTACTCTCAGTCACTTACACATTATGTTTTTCATTTGTTTCAGAGCATCAGAGCTGGACTGCGATGATGCAAAGTTTCAGTCAAACCGGTTTGGATCCTGTGATAAACCTCAGTGATTGCGACGATATGTTTTCGTAGACACCGTTATGTGCCGTGCTAATCATCATCTTTCTACCCACTCACTCACCTCCCAAAATGAAAAGAAGAAAAACCAAACGAAAGAAACATGATCACGTCATTGGAGTGAATGTTTATTCTTAGATCGTCGTTCAAATTTTGGCTATTCGTTAAGTTTTCCCCAGCCCATCTGAAATCCTTACAGGCAAATCGACCGTTCCCCCGTCGAAAAAATGCTCTCCTCGAAAGTGACAAAGGTTTCTAACCTACAAAGTGGCTCAATTTCAATTCATATCAAATTTTAGATTAGATTAGTACAAAATTCACATAGGGATGGTCAGAGCATACAGACGTTAATCGTTATCGGAGCTTTTCAGTGTTGGGCGAAGTCCGTCTGTTTCCGCTCAAATTCCTAGCTTCAGCTATATGAGACATCCCGATTATTTCTCAGCATCGCACAGCTGCAACCAAAAGGGTCGGTCCGAAGAGATGTTTCGTTTTTTATAATCGACCGATTGTAAGATTTAATGTATGGAAAATCGATTCAACTCACCTTAACTTAACGCAAACTTCAGGTCAAATTAGAATATTTTTTCTTTATGTGGCTGGATCTTAAATTTGAAATCGGATTTTTCCTGAACAAAATCTCCGAATTATACGTGATAAAAAGAGCGAGGGGGGAAATTGAACTCGTCGAAGCTGAATTTTTAGCGTTGGATGGATAAAGTGGAAGTATAAATCGGAACATGTCCGGGGAAGCGTGGGTGAAGCGGTGGGGTTTGGGAGGTGTGCTCGGATCCCGTTGAGATGCAGCCGTACTCGTCGATGACGTCGCGGGGGTACTCGTCGCAGGCGAACACGCCGCGGGCGTGCCGGGTGTCGCGGACGCCGCCGATCTCGCGGTCGAGCTACTACGAGCACGGGCACGGGCGGGACCTGCACCGGAGCGAGCCGCACCTGGCCGGGCCGGGGGCCGGGGCTGTGGCGCTGGACCAGCAGCTGTTGCTCCAGCAGGGGCCTCCGCCGCGGCACCAGTACTACGTGGCGCCCCTCCCGCGGTCTGGGAACCCCACGGCGGCCGTCCACCGGCTGAGCCCCATCCACCAGCCGCACCCCCACCCGCACCCGTACCCGCACCACGCTCACGCCTTCACCGAGCTCCACCGGCCCCCTCGCCGGGAGCCCTGCCCGGTCGCCCACTGGGAGCTCGACGTCGACCTCCGCCACCACATCCAAAACTGCACCTGCAGCTGCAACCATATGGGATACGGAAATTACATGGACTACCAGGTAAATAAATATTTTTCGCCACCTCTATTTTTCTCACCTCACTGGAAAAAAAAAAAACACATTGGATCTAGAGTCCAGACTCTTGAAAACATTGACAAGAAAAAGGACTCTTGATTCAATCAGATTTAAGCTTAAATCAAGAACCAAGCCTCTTAATTTGAGCGGATTTCCTTTCCATTTAAGCTTAAATCTGCTTGAATCAAGAGTCCATTTTCTTGTCAATGTTTTCAAGAGTCTGGACTCTAGATACAATGTGTTTTTTTTTTCTTTTTTCCAGTGCATTTCACTTGAAAGCTTCGTCAGTAACCTACTCCGCCGTGCTAAGCAAGAAAACCGTATGAGCCTTCAGACGCTGCCAAGTTTCCTTCGATAAATTCCAAATTTAATAAGAAAATTCTGAATATTTTTTTCCAAAATTTTCAGACAATTTTGCACGCAATTTAATCTAAAATGTCTAAAAATTTCTATGAAAAATATGCATGAATATCGTCAAAAATACGATTTACCACGGGAAATTTGGCAACATTCGAAGTTTCATACGGCGTTCTTCCTTAGCACGGCAGTATTCAACCAGTTGCAGGCTGATAGTCAGTTAATAAATTTTTTCACATCCCCGCAGATTTTTTAAACTTTTTTGGGGTACGTCAGCAAGATCAGAAAACATAAGCTTATGGAGATCTATTAAATTTTGCACGTTTTTGACCAAGATTTCTGAAAGTCTCTGCACTTATTAAAAAGAAAAACCAATCAAAGTACAACTTTGTCCTCAAAACAAAAGTTTATCCTCATTTTCTTCGAATTGTTAGATAAGCTAAATATTTTGACTAGGTAAGCTCTGAAAAGGATCATAGATCGGTCAAATATAATACGAAGAGTTCTTATCTGCGTAGATAGGGCATTTTCTAGTCAAATATCAGGAAAAATGTCAGCAGCTCAAGTTCAGATAGAATCATTCTGCGATCTGCCGAGTGTCCATGCATCAATTATTCATTTTAAAAGCATTAGTATGGCCATGCGAACAGGGCCGGATTAAGGGGGTGGCCACATGGGCCCCGGCCCATGGCTGCAAATCTAGGAGGCTGCAAATTTTGCAATTTTTTTAAATGTAGGTACAAAAAAATCGGATTAAGAAAAGAAAAAAAAATACTAACGAGAAAAGGCTACAAAATCTCTTATTTCCTGAGAGTATTGTAATTTCTAATTTTGTCGTCTTCCAGTGATACAAGAGACAACACCTTTAATTAGTCGAGTTAAGAGAGAAACCAAACACACAATTTAGCCTGTAACGGCGCGACTTAGGGAGAAATGATGACGAGGACTTGAGATGAAAAGGAGAAGCCCTCGGCGCGGCGATTGGCATGTAACACACATTAGCGCCCACAAGACTGCACGAATATTTCACGCATTGCATCAAACACAGTGCGGTTATGGTGGTCAGCGTGAAACGGATAGCGCCTACAAGAATACATGAATACTTCACGCATTGCGCCAAACACAGTGCGGTCAGCGTGAAACGCATAGCGCCTACAAGACTGCGTGAATACTTCACGCATTGCGCCAAACACGGTACGGTCGACGCGGCGCGGCGGTGGAAGTTAAAATCATTAAACCAAATTTTTCATAATTTTTTCGTTAATTTCTTATGAATGGAAGGCCTTGTCCATTAGAGATAGGTTTACGAAACTTGACTTTCGCGCAAAGTTCCGTGACCCTCTGCTAGTAGTGTTGACAGGGCTCTCCCAAAAAATGTGTTCAACACGAGTAAACGCGTCTTATGCACCCCTCCCCCGCTGGCACGTTCACTTGATGGTTTTTATTGACGTTTCAAAACGAATGAGAAGGGGGCGGCAAAATACAGGCGGCCCATGGGTGGCATGTAGGAAAATCCGGCCCTGCATGCGAAGAAAGAAATCTGATGAAATCAAAATGAAATTGCGTTGTAAAAGCTCCAAGGATTGTCATCAATTCTCTAGTGTTCCTATAGTGATAGTCGTGGTTTATAGAGCTGATCCAATTTCCTTGATGGATGCTCCCCTGTTCCTCACGTTTATAATCAAGCTAGTACTGAATATTTATAAATAAGTGTTAACCCGAGGGGTTTAATACTCCAAGTAAGACCACTGCCTTGCTCTCTCACGCATTTCTTCCCCGAATTCATCAAGTTTCATTTTGCGCAGAATTTGTTCAGAAATCTATTCTCAACTTCGAATTATTGCGACTTCAGCCGAACATCGGCTGCATTCTGGAATCACCAATTTTAGAAGTTAATTAATCAAATCCAACGCGAAAATTCGCTTTAAGTGTGGCAAACTTTCTTTGCAATCTGCTCAAGAGGGTATCCATCAGTCAACATTAGGCGAGGATGTAGGTAGACGATTTTGGTCTTGAAAGTAGAAAACTCTGTAGCTCACACTGAAGGGTTGCAAGCTTCTTGCCTCATCTTAAATCTTATATTTAATTCATCTAATGTATAAATTCCCTGGTCAAAATTAACCTCAGTGGAAGTAACGCCCCTTATTGACTCCTAAGGTCAGACTGTCCACTTTTTCGAGGTTAAAAACGAGTATAGTGCCAAAAGCTATTCCACGATTACGATTATTTAGTACGGTGGGTAATTACCAAAAAAGGGCAAATAGTGGCAAATCGTGATACAGTTTAGCGGCTTTCAGGGATCAAACTAGATGACATTTGAAGAGTTTTGAGTCGAAGAGGCATTTTCAAAATGGTGGCAGATCCAAGATGGCGGCCATTCAAAATGGCGGCCGGCGCGTACTTTGAGCCGCTATAGATCGAGATCCACTGAACCGATTTTATTTCTCTTTTTTTTGTTTGATAGATAATTGACAGGTAAATACAACAAAATCACAAACTTTTTGATTTTGACAATATACAGGGTGTTTTTTCCACAAAACCCGGTTTTTGTGCATTGATAAAAAAGCTTTTAACCCATATATCTTTTAAAATCGCATTATTAAGGCCCCTTTAAATACTCGCCATGTAAAAGAGCGTCTTTTGAGCTTTCCAACGATATATTACATGATGGGTCTATAATTTAAGGTTTTTGTACCACTGCGATCCGCGCGACGGCGGCACAGCGCGGGCCTGCATAAATTAATCCAGGGGCATATGTTGAAAAGAAGCCTCCCGTGGAATAGTGAATGGGGCAAGTGTAAAAAGTGGCCTAATCTCTTCTTTTCGATGTGCAGAAAAATAATTTAGATGTTGTCTAGCTCAATTTTGCGTCCAACCCCTCCAATTCAAGATGGCGGCCAAAATGGGGGCTCGGGGGTTGAAGATGTTGGAATTT